CCATTCACTACTACTGCTATAACAGCATCATAAACTCTCTTGAAAACCTGTTACAGAAAAATGGATTAGTTCAAAAATGTGAAGAATGGAGATTACGCAGGCATGACGATTGTATGGCTGACATCTATGATGRAAAACTGTGGAATGATTTTCAACAGCACAACGGACAAGATTTCCTAAAAGCTCCTAGAAACTATGGTTTAATGTTAAATTTTGATTATTTTCAGCCCATGCAGCATCGAAAAGATTATTCAGTTGGAGTGCTATACTTAGTGTTGCTAAACCTTCAACGAGCTGAGAGATTTAAATGGGAGAACGTTATAGTCGTAGGCATTATTACGTCTATGGAGCATGAAGCCAAATCTCTTAACGAGTTTCTCAAACCTGCTATTTCAGAACTCAAAGCTTTATGGAAGGGCATTTACTTAAAAAAACAGCCTAAGTAGTATTCCATTGAAATTCAAAGCAGCTGTCCTTTGCACGTCTTCCGACATACCAGCATCACGCAAGCTATGTGGTCTAAAGAGCCACAGCGCTGAATTGGGATGTTCCAGATGCTTAAAGAAATTTCCTGGAAACTTTGGAGAAAAGCGAGACTACTCGGGTTTTGATCGCGAAAATTGGGAGAAAAGAACTAATTCGGCTCACAGAAAAATAGCAAAAAAGATAAGCAAATGTAAAACCAAAGCCCAAGCAAAAGACCTATCAAAAACGTTTGGAGTGACGTATTACTCTTCTTTGCTAGACCTGGAGTATTTTGATGCAATCCGTTTCTGTGCCATAGATCCAATGCATAATCTGTTCCTTGGTACTGCAAAAAATGTTTTTAAGACATGGATCAACGAAGGACATTTATCAAAGACAAATTTGGCAAAAATAGAAAAAAGAATCGAATCAGTGGAAGTCCCACCGAACATTGGAAGGCTACCAAAACGGATATCTGCAAACTTTGGATCCTATACAGCAGAGCAATGGAAAAACTGGACCTTGTTGTATTCCATTTTTGCTCTAAAAGATATCATAGACGAAAAGCATTTGAAATGTTGGCAAACATTCGTCTTGGCATGCCGATATATATGTAGTCCTGTTTTATCGCAAGCAGATGTTATCAAGGGGGATGGACTCTTACTCAAATTTTGCAAGGAATTTGAGAAGCTCTATGGCCATTGTGCTGTTATACCTAATATGCACCTTCATTGCCATTTGAAAGACGTTATTGCTGATTATGGACCCATTCACAGCTTTTGGTGTTTCAGCTTTGAGAGATATAACGGAATACTTGGAAGCATTGTTACCAACAACAGATCAGTGGAATTGCAACTGATGAGAAAACTGATAACGTCCAGATTTCTTGACAATTCAGCATCGA